GAAAATATCAGTTTTCATTCCAATCCCAAAGAAGGGCAATACCAAAGAATGTTCAAACTACCACACAGTTGAGCTCTTTTCACACGCTAGCAAGGTCAGGCTCAAAATCCTCCAAGCCAGGCTTCAACAGTATGTGAACTGAGAACTTCCAGATGTTCAAGCTAGATTTAGAAAAGGCAGAGGAACCAGAGATCAAATTGCCAACATGCACTGGATCATAGAAAAAACAAGAGAATTCCAGAAAAAAAAAATCTACTTATGGCTCATTGACTATGCTAAATCCTTTGACTGTAGGGTTCACAACAATCTGTGGAAAATTCTTAAATAGATGGGATTATCAGACCACCTCACCTGCCTCCTGAGGTACATCAAGGCTGTATATTGTCACCCTGCTTATTTAACTTATATGTAGAGTACATCATGCAAAATGCCAGGCTGGATGAAGCACAAGCTGAATTCAAGATTGAGAAATATCAATAACCTCAGATATGCAGATGACACCACCCTTATGGCAGAAAGTAAAGGTGAACTAAAGAGCCTCTTGATGAAAGAGGAGAGTGAAGAATCTGGCTTTAAACTTAACTTTCAAAAAATGAAGATCACAGCATCTGGTCCCATCACTTCATGGCAAATAGAAGGGGAAACAATGAAAACAGTGACAGACTTTATTTTCTTAGGCTCCAAAATCAGTGACTGCAGCCATGAAATTAAAAGATGCTTGCTCCTTGGAAGAAAAGCTATGACCAACCTAGACAGTGTATTCAAAAGCAGAGATATTACTTTGGTGACTAAAATCCATGTAGTCAATGTTATGATTTTCCAAGTAGGCAGTATGGTGGTGGTTTAGTCACTCAGTCATGTCCTACTCTTGCAACCCATGGACTGTAGCCCTCCCGGCTTCTCTGTCCTTGGGATTTTCCAGGCAAGAATACTGGAGTGGGTTGCCATGCCCTCCTCCAGGGGATCTTCCTGACCTAGGGACTGAAGCTGGGTGTCTTGCACTGCAAGCAGATTCTTTACCAATTAAGCTTCCAGTGAAGCCCTTAGTCAGGAAGGGATGTGAGCATGTCACCATAAAGAAGGCTGAATGCCAAAGAATTGATGGTTTTGAACTCTGGTGTTGGAGAAGACTCTTGAGACTCCCTTGAACTGTAAGGAGATCAAACCAGTCAATCCTAAAGGAAATCAGCCCTGAATATTCACTGAAAGGACTGATGCTGAAGCTGAAGCTCCAATACTTTGGCCACATGATGTGAAGAGCTGACTCATTGGAAAAAAACCCTGATGCTGGGAAAGATTGAAGGTAGGAGGAGAAGGGGTGACAGTGGACAGGATAGTTGGGTGGCATCACTGACTCAATGCACATGCATTTGATCAAACTCCAGGAGATGGTGAAGGACAGGCATGCTGTGCCAGCCTATGGGGTTGCAAAGAGCCAGACGGGACTGAGTAACTGAACAACAATGACAGAGATTTTTAATACACATCCTGGACAACCACAAGATCCTACACACCTTCTAGTGTCTGAGATCTCACTTTTGTCCTGTCTCACTGCTAATGTTGTCATACCCAAGTTCATGTGCCTGACATAAGCTAAGACCAAACAAGCCAAAATGGACGAGTATGGAGCCAAGAAAAGATTATTTGTTATGGAACCATGCAAGGAGTATGGGCCTGCTCTCATTCAAAAGATGTGAACTCACTGATAGGTTTTAGGGGAAAAGTTTTAATAAGCAAAATTTGGGGGGAGGGAGCACTGCAGGGTGTGGAACCATCCTCTGATTTGGTGGTGGTGAGGTAACAGGGTGGTGTTCCAGAGATTTCAATCATCAGCCTTCTGGTTCCAACCAGTCTTAGGTCCAAGTGTTTATTTTAGGCCTGAGGTAATCATCCTCCACCTGGGTGGGAGGTTCAGTTCCAGCAAGCTCAGAGTTATGTATCAAATTGTTACACACGTCCCCCCCTGGAGGAACCAGGCTCAAGTCTCATCCTGCACTATTGTTCTCCCTGCATTCCCTCACTCCCCTAAATAGTCAGTGTTTGAATGTGCCCTTTGGAACACAGGGAAGGTCTAGGAGATGGAAGCCGTTTTCCTATAAACAGGAAATGGGGGGCAAAGAAAGGTCTCTGTACCTGGGGTGGAGGGGAAACCACAGGATCCTGCACAGTTTCAATCCCCCATTTTCTCTGATACTTCTCCATCTTGAGGGGTGGCAGAGGACTTCAGTTTTAGGGGGACGACTTGGTTTCACTACAGCTTTAGGAGGTTTATCACTTGTATCCACCTCTGTCCTTCCTGCAGATTGCCACTTTCCAAAATATTGAACTGATCAGTTCCCATAGAACTGATCTATGGGAAGGACCTAGAAAACATCTTATCCTGCCAATTTGTAAATAAGAAAACATGTCTAGAAAGTGACAGTCTTGTTCCTATGCCCAAGGCCTTCTAACTCTGTCTCTGATGCAGATGGCGCTTGAAGCTCACACTATGTGCAGAAGCCTCTGTGGCTTCCTTTCCCACATGTAAAAGACAGGGCTTTTCCTAACCATCCACAGAAGATTTTGCATAATCAGGTACTTATCTACCTTTCCAAACATATCACCCATTGTTCCTGTATATAGATTCCTTTCCTTTCTGATACTTTACTCACTAGTCTTTGAACTGCCCACATTTACCTCATGTACTTTTCCTAGTGAATCTTTGGGTTTTTTATTTGTTTATTTCACTTAGAATATCTTTCTCTAGTTTTATCCCCTGCTGTAGTTCTTGCGTTTTGAAATCTAAAGCATGCCTCATATGAGTATGTGAAACATTTAACCAGTTTCCCCCATATTCGCTATGGCCAAATTTCTTTTGATAGAAGTCATAAATACCTATACCATATTCTCAAGTTTATATAAAAATGGAAAATATTGGGAAATATTCACTTAATGTGTTCAACTCCCCAAACACAGTGATTTCTGAACAGTTGGCAATTTTAGCTTATTAACTTCTCGCTTGGTAAACCGTGCATTGGACCTGATCTCCTCAAATGACTCCACCTCCCGTGCCTTTTAGAGTGTACACCCATCCTGGCTTTCTCTAAGTTGAAGACTAGGGGGTAGAAATTGGTCAGAAGAGGAGAGATGTGGAAGTCACAAAGAAAAAAAGGAAAGGCTAGAAGATACCAGAAGAGAATGAATTTGTCATATTTCCTCAACCAAAAATGGAGATTAAGGAATACGACTGGAAGACTTTAGTTCTTACAAGAGAATTTGTATTCCAGGAATTATTTAAAATATAAATTGAACCCAAGGGTGATTTTAACATTTTGTTCCTGGCCACTAAGCTTGGAAACCAGCACTTAGCAGTTTAAAATAATTAGAAAATCAAATGCCTTTATTAGAAAATGAAGATTTCTTGGCCCATGACTTGCTGCACTGAGTATATTAGCATTTATTATGGACTCAGCTCCATACTCTTCTAATGTGTTCTGCTTAAGAATTCCTAGAGACATCTATACAAATAAAATTTACTTAAAAAGATAAAGATTAACTTGTAAATTCTGAACTGTAAGAACAAAAAGCTCAAAATCTTAAATTAAGTGGCTAGCTGCTTATCCATTGCCGATGTTTAACTACAATATTCAGGAGATATCTCAGTGTGTTAAGTTTTGAAGGTCTATATAGTCTTTAAGTTGATCATTAAAAACAACAGAATTTAAGTGAATGTCAATAAACCAGTGAATTATAAATATTCTCTCTTCCAGCATATTTGATCAGAGCTATCAATAAACAAAATTGTATTTCCTAGGATTTCAGGCATGAATGCTAATCTATGAACATAATGTTCTACCAGAGGATCCTAGGAGAATATGAACAATTTGGACATCTATTGAGTTACTCGTAATAGAAAACTGGACACGTGTGCATTTCAGGAAATAAAATGACATTCCTAACGTATCTGCATTAAAATACTGCTTATATATCTATGACTAGTATGATTCCCCTTACTTTGACTCCACGTTAGCTGATATTTCCAGTGGCAAAATTGATCCTTGCCACAAAATACATGTCTCTACTCCCTTTCCCCAAAACCCAACACTACTGAACTAAACAAAGTGGCAGAGTTTCACCCAAAACTGTGCTGTTGACATCTTGTCTTCAGTGGGATGACGAAGACCAAGACTACAGGCAAAAGCAGAAGTTCTTACAGCAAGATGAGCTCTCTTTAGGCTTTGTCTCTTCGCCTCCCCCCACCAACAAGGCACACACCAAACTCTGTGGGAGAGTAGCCCTAAGCAGGTCCAGAAGTGTCAGATCTGTCACTATATCCAAGAACATCTAGCTTTCTCTCTGATGCACTATGACACATTTGGCCTCCACCTGCCGGAAGGAAAAGCCCCCAGCTCCCACAGATCACTTCCTAGGAATCCTTACAAGTGCTACCAGATTGATCATCTGCCTTCACATAACTTTACATGGTTTGTAATTTACTGAAAGCACTCATGTTATGAGGGAAAACTATATATGATCTTCAAATCTAGTATTTTGAAATATTGGGGCTAATTTTAAAGTATCTTGCAGGTTTAGGCATTCTGCTGAGGGGGTTGGTTAACACTGACCCACCAGCTGTGGTGTTCATCTAAATGGGTGAAGGTGTGAGGGTGGACTTTATGTTATTGATTTCTGGCCTGAAAGGAGAGAGAGCCTGTGGATTCTCCAAAGGAAGAGTGTCGAAGGAGGATATCGTCTACTAAAAGCCTGCAGGGAAACAAACAGTCAAACAAAGAAGCACCAAGAGCAGCAAAAAAACAAAACTCAAGTCCCACCTCATTTCTGGTTTCCAGTGGCTTCCAGAAGGGACAGGGTAAAATCCTGTTTTCAGGGAACAATGTTCTAAAACCAGGCCCACAGAACTCACCCAACCTTGTCACTCCAGACAGCTGCATGTATTTGGGGAAGTAAGTCTGTATCATTGTGCACCTTTCAAAACTGCAGTTGAGTACTAAATAATGGAGTAGCTTTGTTTGTAAGCAATATTTATTTTTCATGAAGATAAGAGGCAAATTACATTTGTTACAGAAAACCCTATGAGAGGAAAAAGCTGCATGTTACTAATATGACCAAAAAAAAAAAAAAAAAAACCAGAAAAAATTCTACTTATGAAAGTGCTCTGCCCTATAACATATTGAACAGAAGGCATTATTCCAGGTGAATGAGCCATGCAGAAATGAGGATTTATTAGGATTTGTTTTGAAATGTAATTTGTACGGTGAGCTTTTTATTCCTTTGATGGCAATGAAACAGATTTATTGGCTACATGTTGGAAGTGCAATAGATAACAGATAACCAAGGGAGAAGTTTTAATAAAACACTCAGGAAAGAAAAAAAAAAAAAGTGAGTGAGAATACATGCTTACATGGCAGCTAATAAATAAAAAGTTGAGATAGGGCTTTAACTGAAAACCATCCTGGTTATTGCAGCCTGGAAGGTTTATTGAAAATTGGGTAGAACACTCTAATTTTTCATACTTAACAGTTGAACAAGTTAGAGTGATATAACTCAAATTTTGGTTTTGGTCCAAGAATCCTATGTTTTCACAGGAAGCTTTCAAGAGGCTTGTAGGGGAAGAGCGGTTTCTGATTATTAGAGGGTCTGGCTGTGTTCTTTCTGGCTGCGCTCTGGATTTTGGACAACTTAACAATAGAGCATCTCTTTTTACCAGTCATCCTTTGAGGTAAAAACACGGGACACTTTCAGGGAAGTTTTGAAGGAATATCTTCAATAAGCATTGAAATATCTTCAATAAGCATCTTTCAAAGAGATGAACAGAAATGAGCTCCTAAAGATACTTGAGAACTTGGTCCTGAAAGCATCATGCTCAGAAATCCAAATATATATAGGCTGTTCATCTGACACTGGGACTTAATGAGCCCCAGTCACACATCCCTCATTTGACTTGGCTGTGTTCAGTAGGGCCCTGGACTCAGGGAAGAAACTAGCTCTCCTTTTTTATTTCAAGGTGAGAAGAAAAATGTCCTTTTCTCTGAGTGGCTCCAGAGCTATCTTGATTTTAGTATTGCTCTCTTAGAGTCTTGCTTTGGAGAATGATGAGTCACTTCCTAAGCTTGCAGGCAGTCCCTGAGGCCTTAACAGGCATTAAGGAGCCAAGGCGGAAAAACTACTCTAAGCACCAATAATAGCTACCAACGCAAAAACCATTTCCCAGGGTAGAGCAGGGCCAAACGTGTGCTCTCACAATTTGCAGTGAGGCTTCTTAGAACAAGTGCCATAGATCTGGAAGAACCAGAGACCCCAGGTCTCCTTTCACTTAGTTCAGAAACAGGAATTCAACTGAATTGAACAGTGAGTACGCACTTAGGAATTTACATCAATGAAATTGGGTTGTTTTAATGCACAAAAGCTTCTGGGCTATAAGTAATCCATGATGGCTTAAAATGGCATTATAAATGCCATTGTATATATATATACATTGTCTCATTTAATAATGACTCATAAAAAGATATATATATGAAAGAGATAGGAAGAGATATGGAGGAGATAGGAACACAAAAGCAAGATACATAAAATTAATTGGCATAATTCGGAGAGTATGAGTCATTATTAAATATGGATTCCAATCAAATATTCCATCCCACTCCCAGTTATGTTAATATTTCAATGCTCACATTTTTTTACTTTCAACTGCTCAAACTTTCCAGTGAGCATTATTTTGAAAGGCTCATACAGAGTCCCCATGACATTCTCCAAAGGAGTTACTTTTGTGGAGAGGTTTTGAGAAGAAACAATTCAAAATTCTGCTTCAGCTTATACATTATCTCTCATAGGATAATATTAATAAACCTTGTGAGAATTTTTTGAAGACAGGTGTTAATGAGTTTGCATGCCTTGGCAAGATACACTAAGAGAAGACTTAAGGGCTTTATTTCTAAAGCACCTATATTATGACGACATGCTTTTGGAGACAGGTAACTATTGTCTATATAGCTAAGTATGTAGTACATCTCATGAGAAAAACGGCTAGGAATGTATCTTTTCCCAGAAACCATATTTCCCTCTTTTTATAATTAAGATGTATGCACAAGAAATGCTCATTTATTTGATTTTTAATATAAAAGGTGCTTTCTTTAAAAGAGCAAGATCCAAAATTGTTTTGTGATTCAAAACTTAAAAATAAACAAACTAATCTTCCAAATCTTCCAAAGACATGTTTAATGTATTTACTATGTCCCTTATTTTGTCAGATTTTAAGAGTCTAAGTAATTAAACCATATGTAAGCACTGGTGTACCTGGTTATATATACTTAGTAAACCATTTGGTCTATTTACACAGAGACATGGAGATGATATATATATATATATATATATATATATATATATATCCTCAGACACTATTATTAAATGCAATCCTATATTCTTGGATATAGAGGTTGATGATGCACCTTTCTACTTGTCATGGCACTAACAAAGCTAGGTTGAAAGTCAGCAACCACTTGTATTCATTGCTTTGCAGGCTAATAGTAAGTTCGGTTGCTGGTGGGAAAGGGGTCTCTTACCACACCCTTCTCAAAATAAAGGTTCTTTCGTGTTTAATGAAAGTACATGCACATTCTCTTATCGAGGTGGTCTTGAGCTGCAGATACAGTCGCACCGCTCATGGTGATCCAACTGGATGTCAACGAGAGCCATGTGCTTCGCTCTGCCCCTCCTCTTGAAATGGCCAGGTTCAAACTTTAACACCTAGGACAAGAAGCATTTCCTGTTAGAAAGTACCTGAGATTTAACTCAATTACATACCACTTATTCTCTTTATGACAACTGGTTCTTAAGCCTTTGAGGATCTGATGAAATCTATAGGCTCACTATTAGAATGCACACGTACAAATATTGTTATAGACAATCACCGACTCCTTAAAGTAATGGAACCCACTGATCACAGAGCAATGCCTCCTGCATTACCTACCTGCAGGGTCATGAGGACTGCAGGTGTCTGAGCAGGTGTTTACTGATCACTTTCTGAGGGCCTGCTTTGTGCCAAGTGCTGTCACAAATATTGTTAATATCACAAAGAGTCTTCTGACTAAAGCATGTGTTATGGATAAATACAGTACTGAGAATATCATTATCTCTGTGGACAGGACAACAGATACAGTTATGACCTAATACGCTGGTATGGGGACTTCTTGGGAGAGTGGTTAAGAATCCACCCGCCAGTGGTCTGGGCAGACCCCACGTTCCCCACCCGCGCCTGGAGGCAGTGCTTTGTACACAAGAGGCCCTTGCATCACGGGACAGCAGCCCCTGCTCACAGCTAGAGAAAGCCCGTGTGCAGCAACAAAGACCTGGGGCATCACCCCCCACCCCACAAAAGTGCTGGCGTGGCTAAATGCGCCAGTGAGGTAAGACATTTGGCCTCTTAGTGGTCATAAATAACTGAAAATGTGTGTATGTTCTTACACACAATGTGTTCTTACATATTCGATCTTACATATCGAATAATACCCTTTACAATTCAAAAGAGATCATGTTTTCTAAAATGTTTGCATATTAATACCTTTGAAACAATCCAACATTTCTTGAATAAATCACATCCTTAAGTTTTCACATTGATAGGTGTAAATGTGATTTAAAAAATTTTTACCTTTAAATAGAAGCTAACACTTCTTCCCTAGTGTGGCCTTCACTGAAGTCAATATTTGCCATCATATACATAAACACTTGTTTTCCATATACAGTCAATTTAATTGCTTCTTTATGTATATTTTTAGGCTCCTGTTAGCTTTCATTTTTGATTCTGTTCTATTTTCCCTTTTAGACTTTAAACTCTGCATGATACTACCATACAACTATGTAGCATTTTGTAGTTTTGAAAAAATTTGCACCTATGCACTGTTTTGTCTGCCCCAAGACAAACCTTGTCATACAATAGAGAAGGCATCTTTACTCACAGTAAAGGCTAGAGAACTGAGATTATAAGGGAGGCCAGGTGCCAGGGTCTTCTGTCAACTCAGGTCTGAACAACAGTGCGTTGCTCTCTGGACTCCCAGCACACTAGGACCCAAGGACCAGCGCCTCTCTAATGTGGCTGCAGTTTCCTTCTGTATCTCAAAGGTGTGTCAGGCACACGTGTGAACAGAAATGGGGCCCTGATGCTTGATATACTTTGCTCCAAGATGAAGATTAGATGCGAGGAAATCTTGTTTTCTAGGCTGTGTAAGTTTTCATGGCATGCCCCCAATTTTTCTACTGTGGATTATCTTCCTAGCAATGTCCTCATCCTCACATTACCTGTTTCAAGTTATTAGCAAATCAAAACCATCTACTAGGAAAACAGGCCTAGAGCCCTCAGTCCCCATGCATCCACTTTACTTTAGCGTTTGCCTTTTTAAAGCATCGAGGGGGTGATATTTATGTATTTGGCTGTATTGCACCTTAGTTGTGGCATGCAAGATCTTCACTGGGTCCTGCAGGAGCTTGCACTGGGGCGCACAGATGCTCTAGGCATGGCACATGGCCTCCAGAATGCACGGACTCAGCGGTGGTGGCATGCGGGCTTAATTGCTCCACAGCATGTGGGAACTTAGTTCTCTGACCAGGGACTGAACCTGTGTCCCCTGCATTGCAAGACATATTCTTAAGCACTGGACCACCAGGTAAGTCCCAACATTTAGCCTGTTTTCCTATAAGAGTTCTGTGGAGCAGGTCATTCGTTCAATGTTCAGTAAAGTAAGGAGCCTGGGCTCTGATAACACAGAGTGAAATACCTAGTCCCGCTTAGAGAAGAGCTTCAAAAGGATATTTGTACTTTTGTGAGTACAAACTGGGGTTGGGGGATAGGGTGGGAAGGAATGGCCTAGAAGAGTTCATGATGGAGGCACAAAAATACTGGCTTATGGTAAAGCTAGTCCCAGTGCCAGTTTTGATAGCTAATTATATTATCCTTTTTACCTAAATTCCTCTGAACTTACACTATGCATCACATAGTTTCATATGACATATGCTTTCTATTAACGAATGCTTTGAGGGCAAGGATAGCATAAATAATTACTAACATTACTGAGTATTTGTTAGATGCCACACACTGTTATGACTGGAAGTATTAAATGTTTTGAGTATCACTGTAACACTACGATTTAGGTACTTTTCTAATACTGTTTCAGATAGGGAAAAGAGAGACTAAGGTTGCAGAGTCGGTGACTGGCGTCACCAGTGTTTGTCTCCATGTGGCACAGCGCGTGCCCTTACTGGGAAGGTGGACTTTTGTCTGCTCTGGTCAGCAGCGTGTTGGGAACACAGTGGGTTTCCAGTGGGATGCACCCCGAAGGCCGTGGTGGGTAACGCTGCCAGTTCACAGTATGGGAACCTATGTTCATAGCCTCTCTTTCCTGTCTCCTCCTACCTCACTTCTACCCCAACCTCCAACAAGGGGAGGGGCACAAGACAAACCATGCCAGAGGCCACAGTGAAGTGGCCTATGCTTTGCATCACTTGCAAGTCTTCTATGATTTTGAAACAGAATTTCTGTACTGAGCAGAGGGACAATGATATTTTCCCTTTCCTGCTCCCATGTTCACTCCTGCTTCATCTCTAAAGAAAATAAAAACTGTTGCTTCTCCATGAAAAACTAAGTAACCAAAGCATGGATGAAGTGTTTATTGCATTGTGGGGTATTAAATACCCTGCTAGGATAGATAGGAAAGCCTTCCTGTGCCACACTTGGTCAGAGTGACCTGGAAGAGCTTAAAGCTTGGGTTCCTGCAACTTAGCCAAGAATTTCTCTAATATTAGTCACTATTTTCCAACCCTAATAAACCAGATCTGGAGGTTGAACTATTCAGGGGAATAAAATGATTCCTAAGAAGCTGAGCAGATGATAAATATTCTCTTTTTTTAAAAAGACCATTATCAAAGCCTAATAAGTTGCCATGACTGACATCTATAAAATCAGTGCTCTGTTGATTTGCTTCCTCATTTGATGAGAAATGAAAGTGTGTGCTTTGGAGTGAGAGCCAAGCCTGGCCAGTTTTTTCTAACTGGTCTCCTGATTGTTCAGGGATTTTCCCTGTGTTTTATATTAAGCCACGTTAGCCCAGTATATATGTGTTTTGCTGATAAAAGGAGAAAAATGAATTGGCAGACACTTTTCCAGACAAGACAGGAAAGCACTGTTTGAACAAAGTGGAAATTGGACTGCTTTACTGGCTGATCACAGTGCTGATGTTCAAAGCTTTCAGACCATGTAATAGTCTTAGGTTCAGGTACACGGCATTGAAAGGAAGAAAGCAAAGCTGATTTGAGAGAGCATGAAAAGTTAAAAGAAAAATGAAAAGCCTTTATCTGAAAAAGCAAACTGTCTCTGGGTTATCTGGTCACCTTTAAAGGGAAGGAACCATTGAATTAATTACAGTCGCCGTAGGACACTCACTAATAGGTACCTTCACAAAATGCTTTCCTATTTTCTGCTCTATGATTCACTGCTGCAAGCACACACACTGAAATAAAAATCCATGGAGGAGCAGCCAGCCATTTCTTATCACCTATGGGTGAAAATGGCATTCTTGACCCTTCTCCACCATCTGGAAAACCACATGAAGCCAGGGAAAGTTGATTTTTATTAAATGGAGAATGACTGAAGCAGTGGGTGGCTTTCATACCACTAAACAAAATCAAAGATGCTCAGTTTGCAAATTACCATATCACAAAAAATACTTACTACAATTACTCTCTTTGTTGCCAATAAACCACTGAATGAATCACTGCCATAAAGTTATTACAGTAATAAAATAGTACTAGACAGAAAAGCTACCTGCTGAGTTGGGTTCTTGTTTATTGGAAATATTAAAGAAAGGTCGTTAAGGCCTTGTAACAGTTTTCAAATTAATGGCTGAAGTAGGAACACAAGTACATATTTTAGGACAGGTGCACTGTATAAACCCAAATCATTAAGGGCTTACTTAAGATTCACCCAACTTCTAAAGCAGGCAGCATTCAGTATACACACTTTCTTAAGGAAAAAAGCTTCATATTTTTCCTTACTTTATGATTTCTTTCATGCTTGTAGACTTTATAAAAATGTGCATACAGTTAAGATTTTTAAGGTCTGGTAGTCAACCTTTCTGAAATCTAAAGTGACTACAAGCAAAAATATTTTGAGATGAGAAAACATATTATTTTCTACCTGGGTAACTGTCCAACTTGAAGGTAATAGTTTCAAGGGAGATTGAAAGTTGTAAGGGAAGGAGTGATACATCAAGTCCTGAGATACAGTCCTCAATAAGAAAAACACAAATAACAGAGTTCAGCACATTTCTCAAGCTAGGTATGAAGGTGACTAAAGGCCGGGCTTATAGTGTGGGTCTATACAACCCTCATGAATTTTGAAAATACAATTTTGACATCTGTGGACATTTACTTATATTCGAAATTTTCTTGTGAGCACTCTGGGGTGTATTCAGCCACAGTTCTACCTTTAGAGGACTTAAATAGGAATTCCAGTTGAGCTGTTTCAAATCTTGAAAGATGATGCTGTGAAAGTGCTGCACTCAATATGCCAGCAAATATGGAAAACTCAGCAGTGGTCACAGGACTGGAAAAGGTCAGTTTTCATTCCAATCCCAAAGAAAGGCAATCCCAAAGAATGCTCAAACTACTGCAGGATTGCACTCATCTCACACGCTAGTAAAGTAATGCTCAAAATTCTCCAACCCAGGCTTCAGCAATACGTGAACCATGAACTTTCA